GAAATACCAAGGGTTCACACAAAACAAGGGGAATCTGCTTTTAGTTATTATGCCGCCCGCAGTTGGAATCAGCTTCCAGAAGAGATCAGATGTGCTAAAACATTAGTCACATTTAAATGCAGACTCAAAACTCATCTGTTTGGCTCTGCATTTATTGAATGAGCACTGTGCAACATCTGAACTGATTGCACTATATTTTATGTATAATCATTTTCTATTCTTAACTGTTTTATTTCATTTTAAACCTCTTAAATCAATTTTTAAATCATTTTCAAAGTTTTTAAATTCCTTGTTTTATTGTTATGATTTTTTTAAAATTATGATTATTTTCTTTTCTTCTATGTAAAGCACTTTGAATTACCATTGTGTATGAAATCTATGAATACAAAAAATGAAATGAAAAAATGAATAGTCTGAATGCACTGTAAGTCGTTTTGGATAAAAGCGTCTGTTAAATGCATAAATTATTAAATTAAATTAAATGTGCTATATAAATAAACTTGCCTTGCCTACCTTGGACATGCTAGCTATGGGAGGAGTACAGATAGATGACCAACCCTAGCTCACCACTAAAATAAGTGAAGAAACCTAAAGAGCATGCAGCCAGTCAATGCCCTCATTAGAGACCAGGAGCGTGTCTAGAGCATTTTAAATGGAGGGCCAGTCTGGGGCACTGCCGTGACAATATATTAATTGCGCAGTGTGAGATTCATTGGTCATAACAGAACTTTGTGAGATCGCGATGAACAAAGAGTGACAGCTTTTTAGTGGTTATGAGCGCTCTTTGCGAGCTTTCTAGGCAATCCATTTCAAATGTAGGACTTTGTTTTTCGGCCACACACACATTGCAAAGTTTCGGGAATGACATCTGCATATTTATGCGGGATTCTAGATACATCTGGTGGGGGGGGCACCTGGGGGGGCCAGCCAAATTTCATGAGGGGGGGTGCCACCACGTAGACACGCCCCTCTTAGAGACCCCTTTGGCCCAGTGCAGACAAAGAGGACATGCCTCTAGTGGAGTCAGCTTTTGCCCCCATAGAGCACAGCTGCCCAGCTTCAGCAGTCCAATGGGAAAGCCTTTGCTTGGAGACAGCAAATGAAGAGTTGAAGAGATGAAGGGTTTCTGAAGCACACTGCTACAGCAAGCTCTAGCCGAGTATTTGAATGTTGAGCAATGAGCTCATTGTCTGCTGATACAAAAGAAACCAATCAGCTGCAACATAATGGTGTGATTATATCAGATTGAGTTAGAACCTATCGGCCTGCGCCATCTAGAGTTTCATGACAGAACTTTGTATTTACTTTCTTTTTAAATGACGACAAATTATGTTTTATTAACAAGGTTCGGGAGGAGCACGATCAGATAATCAACCAATCTGGCACAGGTGTAACTCGTTTAGCTAATTATCCTAAAAAGCACAATGCGTATATGTACACACAGCCAACTCACCTCTGTCCCACGACAGTTTTCTGGCATCCCTCCTCCCCCCCAACGCCTCACTCTTAAACTATTCTCATCCCATACTAGGGATGGGGGGAGTTCTCTGGGTTCGGGCTATATTCTGAGCTCGGAGCCCTCCTTCAAGACAGCACGCCAAATATGCTTACTATTTGCTAAATCCTATTATATGTAAGGGTGAACTCGTGAACTGAAAAAGCAGGACAAATTAGGAAGAGTGTATGTGCATTGCTTCCAATATCTGCTTCGTCTTGTGATCATTCATGCAATGCTGGTGGATGAAGACTTCTTTAACATACGCGCAACTCGTTCAACATATGCAGAACTTCATTAATTCAGAAGTGGTTCATTTGGAACAGGTTCTTGACTAGCAAACATTGGTAGTCGTGTAACGCCTAGTGTACAGTGTATATAGTTAGAGACAGTGCCTCTGTTTACTATGCTGCTGCATTATAACTTACTTAGATACAGTAGATAAATACATTTTTGTGCAGTAATAACATAATAATAGGCATCATTTTATACTATATAGTTAAAAATAAATCATAGCAATGTAATTGCCCACTGTGTCCCTCTGTGTCAGAGGGAAAGTGTCATGACTGAAACTAATATAGCACAATACAGATTGTTTCAAAGCAGCTTCACAATAATAAACAGAGAACAGTGTCAATTATGAGCTTCAGTTTCATCTGTAAAGCAGCTCTACAGATGATGTTTTATTTCAGCAAATTTTGAACAAATTTCATATACTATCGTGCTAATTGAATTGATTTTATCGGATATATATATAGAGGGGAAGAGAGAGAGAGAGATCAATTTAATTCACTGTTGATTCAGTTCAATTCAGTAACTCAGTGTTGCAAACAGGACGCTTTCTCATCACTGTCATTTTTGTTTTGTGTTTGTTGTGTTATTTAGAGGACAGTTCACAGCCCATCCAAGTATTTTATGCACTCTTTAACAAAAAAACACACACGCACAGGTGTACCATTTCTGTACAGAAGTCTTATTTTCAATATTAATATTTAATTATTAAATTGTTTTACCTTCACTCATCAATACTAGCCTATCCAAATAAAGTTCTAGTATTGATGAGCTCACATATGTTGATTTTAAAAGACACAGTAACATCCGATCCATGATTTAAATCGGCCCTTTAATATTGAATATTTTCTCTGTCTTTCAGGCCACAAAAAGGTTAAAACCTATCTTGGTGAGTATTCTTGACTCCTGTTGCATTTCCTTCATAGCCACATTTTCTAAAATATACTGTATATTATGTGCATGCTAAGCAAAGTCACGCCTGCTTTCTATGTTCAGTTCTTTTTTCAAACTCTGAAACTTCTGTATGATTAGTGAAATTGGAGAGCTGATGAAATGTGCGTGTGGTTTCAGAGGACGTAACGCTGAATCCGACCACAGCGTACCCGTTCCTCATCCTCTCGGACGACCGCAAGCAGCTGAAGCGTGGCGAGAAGCTGCAGTTCTACAGGAACAACTCGCAGCGCTTCGATGTCTGGTCCTGTGTGCTCGCCAAAGACGGCTACGAATCCGGAACACACTACTGGGAGGTAATGCTTTAGAACAGGGCTTCTCAAAGTCTACATTCAAAGCTCCAAATCTGAATTTTCATCAATGTCAAAGGTCCGGAACAACTGTTTTTAATAAACATGCATAACAAATCAACACTATTTTTTTTAATAAAGTGCCTTTTGCATTCAAAATACATTAATAACAAGTGCAAAAGTGGCAAAACTATTAATTTGAGTGTCAGCAATAGAGGTCGACCAATATGGATTTTTCTCCGGCCGATGCTGATATTTAGAAATCAGAGCAGCCGATGGCCAATATATATCATGCCAATATTTTTTGCCGATATGTTTGGCCGATTTTGTCCCCCCCCTCCCCCATCTCATAAAAGAGAGTATGAGTAAATGTTTATTGCAGGGCACAATATAGTAGTAGTAGTAGTAGCCTAATTCATAGTAATAATACATGGCTCAAAACTTGCAAATCCGTTCTCTGCCAGCAGGAGGCGCTTTTGGAGCAGGAGATATAGCGGTTTCCCCGGTAACGGCTGTAATCTAACAAGCGCTGCATGCTACTTTATCAGGCATTACAGGAAAGATTAAATGAAAATGACATCGAGCTTTTCTGAAGACGGTCTTTTCAAAGATACATTCATATAAAATATCCGTGCCGCATTTTAATTTTTAATTTCAACCAAGTATAAGTCTTTTGCGAAATCTATTTGTGGTGGTCAGTTTTGATATTGTGACGAGCCGCCACAAATAACTCTGTGTATGGGAAACACTGGACACTGCTATAAGTCAAATGGCCATAATCTAAGTTATAACAAAAAAAAATCATATTACACTCATATGTGACCCTGGAGCACAAAACCAGTCATAAGGGTCAATTTTTTGAAATTGAGATTTATGCATAATCTGAAAGCTGAATAAATACGCTTTCCATTGATGTATGGTTTGTTAGGATAGGACAATATTTGACTGAGATACAACTATTTGAATCATCTGAAAGCTGAATAAATAAGCTTTCCATTGATGTATGGTTTGTTAGGATAAGACAATATTTTGGTCGAGATACAACTATTTGAAAATCTGGAATCTGAGGGGGCAAAAACATCTAAATATTGAGAAAATCATCTTTAAAGTTGTTCAAATGAAGTTCTTAGCAATGCATATTACTAATCAAAAATTTAGTTTTTATATATTTACAGTAGGAAATTTACTAAATATCTTCATGGAACATGATCTTTACTTAATATCCTAATGATTTTTGGCATAAAAGAGAAATGTATAATTTTGACCCATACAATGTATTGTTGGCTGTTGCTACAAATATACCCCAGCGACTTAAGACTGCTTTTGTGCTGCAGGCTCACATATTACACAGCAGTGAAGTGTCACCCCATTATCACTGGATATCATGACAAATGCAGGAAAACTTTAAATATCTCGCCTTCGCTTTCATTTCAGACCATCTCCAAAAAGACATAAAAAACTAAACAAATGATTTACAAGTTTAACATGCGTTTATCAAAGTAGGAAATATAATTATTGTTCTTGAAACACGAAATGGAGGCGGGTCCGGATCCGGACTTTGAGAAGTGCTGCTATAGACACTAATGTGCACACAAACTCAGCATTTCTCTTTACGCGAACCCGAAGGAGTTATGTTTTCAGCTCTGAAGTTGTAAATGCCACTCTTTCAGGTCAGTGTTGGTGAGAATAAGGACTGGAAGCTGGGAGTGGTGCGAGAGTCGGCCCTGAGGAAGGGTCTGTTTGACATGACCCCTGCTATCGGCTACTACGCGCTGTGGTGGAGCGGCAGCCATTTACGCGCTCTGACCGCGCCGCCCCTCGCTAAGGTCAAAGTCACGGGGCACCTGCGGCGTATAGGCGTCTATCTGGACTGTGAGGAGGGTCAGCTGGTCTTCTTCAATGCCAAGACAGGATCTGAGGTGTATTCATTCACGGTAGCGTTCTCAGAGAAACTGTTCCCGCTGTTCGGCACGGCCGATAAAGACGTGCCGCTGATGTCTCCGTTTGTCGGCGTCCCAGAGTGAGAATGTGTGAAGAGCACAGGCTGCTCATCTTTGCAGAGAATGAGTTGAGGACGATGGAAAGAGAGCTGGTGTACCTGCTCAGGGTTTAGGAATGCACAAACTATGAAGTGAAATGACAGCTTATTTGTCACAGATGTTATGCCAGATTGTTCAAAAGTTTGGAATCACTAAGACTTTTTTTATGTTTTGAATGATGGCATCAGTGAAATAACGCATGTGTTGGGTTACCACGGGGAAAAAACCATAAAGTGTTTCATTCACATGTCAGTAATATACCTACATCTTCCATTTTAAATATTTTAAATAATCATATCATTATCTTATTTAAATGCACCATGTCAACAATGAATTCTAAAAAAAGATGCATTGGGAATGTCATTAAACCTTCATTTTGTTTACAGAATTATGGCGCAAGGTTTACTAAATTGAAAAGGCATTATGTGATATTTTAGTTTTCATTTGGTAGGCTAATTAATTTAATTTACTTAAGAGTTTTTAGTAAACTAAACAGTAATTTAATATTGGATTTTCATAAAAAAAATAGGCTACTGTTTCTTTACTCTAAAATGAATAAAAATACTTGTAATATTTTTTTATAAGCATTGTATTTTTATTGTTATGTTCATTTATTTTTCATTTAATACATTGTGTGTCTAGAGACTGGCTTTATGTAATAACAGACTAGTATAATTTAGTGGAGGGGTGACTGAATGCATGTGCTTGACAGAGTGAATACAGATGTGTGTGTGTGAATGAGTGAACGTGGTTTGGAGAGAGAAATGGTCAACTAGAACCCGTAAGATCTCGTCTAGGGTGCCGACATGATCATAAACAGCCCTGTTTCTCACCTAGCTTACGTGTGACTGTCCTAGAAAGAAAACGGTCCTTCTCTCTGCCAGCACAGAGAGAGCTGAATGAACAAGATTCTGTCGATTTGCACTAAACACCAGTCTTATTTGCATGAGTGAAGAGAAGACATGGGATGCTGACCTTAAAGCAGAGCCATATCCTACACGCGGCAAATATGAAGGCTGGAATGAATCAGTCAGAGTTTGAGGTCTTGTGGGAAGAGTTTGATGAGCAGCACCATAATCCAGCAATTAATAGAGGGTATGAACAATTCAGCATCTATTTCAAATGGAATATTTGTAATCTTGTCAGTGTCTTGCACTGTACTCATCTTGTGCCCAATTTAATGCAATCTTGGTGAAAAAAAGTGTTATGTTAAAAATGAATGTTATATATGAATATTTATAGGAGCAGTGACACAAAGGAAATTTCTATGACAGTTTCCCCCAAATTCTAACTTAAAATAAATAATGTAACATCTCCAGATGTTAACAATAATGATAACAGCTTATAAATGACACAGAATGAAGTTTTGTGAACATCTAATAATCATAATTATTCAACACTGCTTTTTTCAAGTCACTTATTTGTATGGTATGATACAAAATTGTGTTAAAACACAGTTAAACCTTTGGATACTGTAACAAAAGTGAATGAGCTTGAGCTGATACACATCAACTGAACCCATGCATGTGCTAAAGTTGAGTAGCAGATGTGGCAAAGTCTAAAGAGCTCTCCCAGAAGCTGTAGAGCACACATGGTTTTATTATATTAGAAAGTCTATGGTTACAAAAAGACTTCTAAAACTTCCTAGAGACATAGCATAGGGTTCAAATGTGTCGAAGCAGAAAATCTCTGAGAGCTGGTTCACAGTCAGCAGATCTGACCCATATCAACAGCTAGTGTGGCCCAGGTCAGTCCACAAAACTGGCCCGCAGCTTTTTATAATAATCCATTTATAATAAGCCATAATCCAATCTGCAGTGAGCCAAATAATAAAAACCCATATAAGACCCTTATGTTATTCTTGTATAGTTGAGTTCTCGCTCACAGTCTTTCAGGAAAAAGGAGAGAAAAAAGAATATTAGCATAACGTAATTAGTATCATACATTAGATTTACATTCAGTCATTTAGCAGATGGGCCACACCAGCAGGCACTGTTATTCACCCAGCCAAGTGCCTCAAGTCATTCGATGACTGCATTTCTGACATTCCTGCAAATAAAGGCCTGGTCGTATGTTACCTCTGTGTCCTCTTCTATTATTGTGACAGTAATATTCATGAAAATATTTTGGGGTGTAACACAATAATGACGGTTCAGTATGTACCTTGGTTTAGAAGTCACATTCAAGTTTTTTTTTTTTTTGGTACAGCAGAGGGGAAACTAAACATTAAATTGCTTCTTTTTTTCTTTATTAAACAGCAGAGGCGGACTTAACCATTAGGCAAAGGTAGGCGACCGCCTTGGGCCCCCAAAAGCCATGGGCCCCCTAAAATGCTTTTTATATACGAGATGCGCGACACACAAGTGCTGTGGTGTTCATTACCGTCTGCACTGAACGTGCTTCTTGTAGCAAAAATAGGGCCCTATGATTTCTGCGATGCAGAAAACAGGGACAGAATTCTGAAATCCATTCATAAAAACTGAATTTACTGTGTAACGCGGATTGTTAATACATTAAGTTCTTAAAAAAAACTGATTCCAGAAAAATTAAAACAGAAAAAAGGGTTTTTGGAACTTAACTTGGGAACAATGAAAACGGATTCATAGGGCACTACAAATGAAAATATCATGCATCTGAAGCTATAATTTAATACTAAGCAAGTGTGTATTATATGTTTATTGTTTTAAATGGTGCTCACTCATTTCTGTGAAGGACCCAAGTAGAGGACGCACTTTCCACGCAGGCACACTTCATGTTTGGTTGAAATAAACCTCAAGCATGTAAATATGTAAATGTATAATTTCCTTCAGTTTAATTTAAATTTGTAATTAAAATAAAAAATAAATCATATAAATGTATTTTAAAGTTTAGAATTTAAACAACCTTGCATTGTGTAGACAATTGCTTAGTGAAAATGACCCCAAAGCACCACCTAGTGTCCTACTTTAGTACTATTATAACCTGTTTACATGTGAACAAGGGTCTATACAACATGAAAGAAAGCTATTATTTATAACATGAACGTGAAAAACCTAAAAAATTGGACACAACTATGGGACACGGTCATGCAGCAGCAAGCATCACAACAGTGAAAGGAACCTCAACGTCGTAAATGTATGAAATTATATAGGGCCCCATTCCTGGATTTTGCCCGGGGCCCCCAAATCACTAAATCCTCCCCTGTTAAACAGTTTACTTAAATTCAGTTATAATTACAATTTTCTTACAAATAATAAAGAAAAACTATCTGAGCTAATGCTGTAAAGTATATAGGGCGGGAGCTCTATTACCTGCACATTACACCCAAACTATTCAATTTAAAGTATGCACACATGTAAATGGAACATAAGGCAGTTTTTACAAAATATTATACAGTATACTGAAGCTGATGATCAGTGGACAATCATCCCACAGTATTCATCCAAATCTGCTGAAGCTGGCAGGGATCGCAAAAATTAACTACTGGGGGTTGAGTAATTTTGTACATGAATGTTTATAGCCAACTTGATTTTGTTTTGTTTTTTCCATTTTCATCAACTTCATGTTTTCAGAACCACTCAAATGTGTAGCAGTGGCGGAGCCAGGATGTTTTCACAGGGGCCAGCAACCAGTCTGGGGTGGCACAGAAACCTTAATTATTTCAATATAGACACAGTTTTATTGCCCAAAACACAACTGAATACAACACACTTGTACTTATTTGTAACTGAGATAGTTGTGAATTAGATCACGTAATACTGAGTGAATATGACATTATTGTTCCTCACCTCCAGGTATTTTAATAAAGGGGCTCACTATAGCTTTATTGCTCAGTCAGCTTGGTTCTGGTTCTCAACACCCCCAAAAGCTTGTTCTTCATTGCGTACTCATGGATGAGACATGCAGATAACTGCACAGTTCAAAGTTTAGTCAACCGTCACTGAATTTTATATAATCAATGAACTCTGAAAAAGTCAAATGTTTGGCAGCTTGTACATATTCCAGGATGACAAAACCAAGATTCACCAGGCTCAGTCTGTGAAACATGGGCCTGACCTAAACCCCACTGAAAGTCTTGCGGATGTGCTGGAGTTGCACACTCTAATATTTTGTTGGATCGCCTTAAGCTTTGATTATATTGTGCCACTTCACAGCATTTATTTCCATCAAGAGTTGCATTAATATTTGGCCGAGATCGTGTATTGACAATGAGGGAGATGGACCACTCTTTAAAGTTGACTCCAGCACATCCTGAAGACTTCCAATAGGGTTAAGGTCAGGTCAAAAGAACTGTTGCAAAACATAAAACATGCCAGAAACACGTTGATATTGTAGATTATTGTAGAAACATTGTAGATATTATGACCGAAGACAGATACAGTTATCTGACATGCATAACCTGAAGTAGTCTTTTCCCTTAAGACAAGTGTTTTTGAGCAGATTTATTAGAATGTATGTGCATGGTGGAGCTTCCATGAAAAATACAGAGTGGTTGCTTGCAGAGAGATACCTCTCACTCTACTTCAATAGAAGTCTACAGGGTTGGTTGCTAGGATGCTGCAGCTGGTTACTAGGGTTTGGCTAGGAAGTTGGTAGGTCACTACATATTGGCTCCTTGCCAGCCTGAGTCACATGAACCTAACCCATCTCTCAAATCAACGGCACCAGAATTAGCACTGTTTCGGTGAAAAGTGATCAGAGAACAGTTGAATACACTTCAGTTAAAATGCTTCCTTTTTTATTTCTAAAATTCATGTTAAACGAGTTTAAATGTTTGTAATATTGTAAATGATGCTGTATTCACCCAAATAAATTCAATTTGTCTTATATTTTGAACATGGGAGTTCTTGCTTAATAATAAATGTTCATCTTTTGATTACTGCTGTTGCCTCTAGTAATTCTGTGAGATTTTTAATTTCCAGCCCATTTTAAACCAGCAATATAATAATTTTTAAACAATAGTTGACTTACATAAAACAACCCAGCATGCTGGGTAAAAACATTTA